TATTAATTTTTATTATTCTAATATTCAATAATAATAAATTATATTTTAAAAAATCTATTAATATTAATTAATAATAACAAAGTACAAAAAATTTAAAATTAAATATAAATTTACCAAATTTGAGGTGTATCCCCAGTTTGATTCCATTGGTAAACACCATCAAAGTGAATGGAAAAATTCATTCCATGACATAAATATTAAACCAAATAGTTCAATTTTCAATGTGCCATAAAATAAAAATTATTTTTCTATTTCAAAAAAATACATTAAACCAAATAGTTTTAGGTATTACTAATTTTATTAATAAAAGATACCAATTAAAAATATTCAAATTATCAATTGTCCCATGTATAAACAATTTACCAAAAATACATGCCTCTACAATTTATTCCCTTTACAAAAAACTTTCTGTCATTGAAAGTTTCTAGTGGCTAACTCCACAAAATCTACTTATTTGAAAACATGCAATAAGGACACTCTAATTCTAACATTTGCTTAGGCAAACACATAAAATATAATTATAACATAACAATCAATCTATTTGCAATCACTTTATGAAAATCCATGATAATAACTATTAACGTACCTAGCGGTGACAAAATATCAGTATGGCTAGAACTCTGATACCAAGAGCTCTGATACCAAAACAATCCGACATTTTGGAACTTAAACTACTTAGGAAAGTTACTACATGCATGATAATTCCATTTAAAACTCTGTATAAAAAAAGATAAATAATAAATTACACTTTCATAAAATAATTTTATAAAATAATTAAGAAGTTCTACTCGTGATCCCATAAAAAATTATATAGAACAATATAGTAAAATAAATAGCTTTTAATATAAAAAAAATATGGAACTAATGTGGAAGCAGAAATCCATGGCATAACCGGTAGATATTTTCATCACTCGCCTTATAGATCTTTCCTATTTTATGAAAAAAAAAATGGAAAAAAGAGAGAATTAAAAATATTCAGTTAATAACACAGCTATTAGGGTCAAACATACTTAATATGTGTCATATTGACTAAAAATATGGCACATAAATCTTTATCAGTCAAAATCATTTTTTTTTCTTTTTCCTTTTTTAGCCAATGTGGACAATTAACCCATACTTGCATAAATAATACCAACTCTATTATGGTGCGTAAGCGGGTTTATTGGGAGACTCTACCCTAACTGATAGTAGTTAGTACCAATCAGCAGCTTCGTCGTCCGTTGCTTCAATGGAATCTCCTTGATGACCTTAAGGTATGACCACGTGAGCTCGGTCACTTTAGGAGTTGGCTTTGGAAGAAATGCAGGAAAGAGACAAGTTAGAGTGCGCCGAGGTGAAAACAGGGTCGAGCTAAAAAGTGAGATCTTACCTAAATTGTTGAAGCTAGTTGGCATGACATGGAGTGGCTCTCCGCTCCTATCAGTAACAAGCCAATCCTCGAAGAAATAGAACCATTAGCCCTTCCAATTCTTGATCGAGGAAGGATCCTTCACTATCAGCTTCATTCCCCATCAATAAATATAGTACCTTGACTCGATCTTGGGAAAGGTTTTGACCGTGTGGTTATCGAGTAACTGATGTAGTGTAAGAAGCTCGGTGTGACCTTCACCCTCAAGCTCTTACATCTCGCTTTCTTGCCATCAAAGATAGTAGTCGAGGGTCAATGCAACAAGTCTTAGTGGAATGTAAGTATTGAGGTCGTGGGAGGAAATGACAAAGGTCAATATGTTGCAAAGTCATCGAGGTCTTAGCAATGCGTGGTTAAGGGTTGATGTAACAGTTCAAGGTCTTGGCTATGCATAGTTAAGGATTGAACATCAAGCGTCGTAGAGAAGTGTCGAAGTCCTGGGTAGATGGTGGGGGGTCGGAATGACTCGAAGGAGTAAGTCTTGGAGGAATATGAAAGATGGCTAGTGAGTTGTGATGTGGGGCTTGGGATTGGCATGTAGGATGCATGTTTAGTCAAATATATGTTTTAATTATGTAAAGCATGATAAATATTTGTTGAGCATGTTTTTGGACTTTTTGTAAAGCATGTTGTTTGTGCATGACCCTTCATATTGTTGGGACATTTAGATGCTCCAAATAATTTCTCTTTCCACAGTTTTATCCTGTTATCTAAGCCAATCACAAAACAAAGAAAAGTATAGAGGAAGCAATAAACGATACAACCGATTTATATTTGGTTCACCCAACAGTTTATGGGCTACGTATAGTCTTCCGCTCGGATGCGGGTTCCACTATAATAAGAGATTGAATACAAAGCACTCAAATATCTTCCCAAATATTTACCCTCTAGAGGTCTCAACAAAAGCCTCTAACTTATAAGTATTATAACACACTATACTTAGCTAAGGGACGAAAAACACTCACTAAAACCACGAGATACAGACTTCTTTTCACATACTGCCCACAACCACTCAAGTCTCTTTTATTTGGATTCTGTACAAATGAAACCTTAACATAAGGACTCTATTTATAAGAGGCCAAATATCCTAATTCTTATAGGAAAAAAATATTGTAATCCTTATAAGACAATAATATCCTACCCCATATAGGAATTGGTAATAGTGTTGAAAATCGTTTTCTTCGTAGGACATGAGTTTCCTGTTTTGACTCCATTATCCCAACGCATATATGCTAATTGAGCACTAGTGGTTGTACTCACCCCATTCCCTTTTCCCTCCCGATTTTGCAGGTAAAAGTGTGACTTGTACAAATGGTGATGGCGTGGATGAGACTTGACCGAAAAGACCATTATCTACATAGCTCAGTTTTCTAGTTATTTATTTTGGTTAGGATAATCGTAGTTGTTTTTGTTCTATGTTTGGTTCGTCCCTTGCTTTGGTAGGTGGGTTATGTTTAGCTTGCTATTAAAATGTTGTTTTTATTACAAGGTACTTGCTGATAGTTGTTTTAGTTATTAATTCATTTATTCTTTTGAGAATTTTAAGTTTTGTTTAGGTTTTTTTTTGAGTGGTGGGTTTGAGACTTTTTAAAGCAAATAAAGTTTGTTTACTTGAAGTTTCTTGTGTAAAAAGTAGTTATTCTCTCTTGTTGGGTTGAATTCTTTAGGTGGTTCTAGTATTATGCTCCATTTTAGTTGCTGAAAATTTAGGAGCATTATAGTGAGGTTGAAAGGGTAGAGGCAATGGACTATTAACTCTTCCCTGGTTTTAGGGCTAGAGTCTTGAATTTGCTCGGAATGGGAGCATCGAGGACTTATTGGACAAATATAAATTCTCCAAGTTCGCTGTCATCAAAAGCTTGATTGGACTTGCTCTCATACTTGTTCTTCAAAGCTTCAACCTCTACATCAAACTTGCTTTTCAAAAGGCCGAACACTTTTCTCTAGTCACCTACCCTTGCAGTTCAGTAAAAAATGACTTGGATTGTGCCTTGTCATTGAGCTTGTTCCGTACGTCTTATTTTGACTGGTCAGTTCAACCTTGGATGTTGGAGGTCGTACATCTAGTTTTTTTACTAACATAATCACGTAAGTTTTCGCTGACTTATATTGCCGTCATGACCTGTGCAGTCTTGACGACCTTGGCTACCCTCAAGATGAGAATCATGAACAACATCTTCGACTTAGCAGATACGATTCTCTTTGCCATTAACTTCCTCATCTGCGAGGAGTGGATCGTTATTCGTCTGTTGTCAAGCTTGAGAGCTAGCGAGGATTAACTTCTCTGCATGGGCGAGATTAAGATATGTTTGCTCCATTGTTGTTAGCTGTGCGAACACCTCATCCATTCCCGCTCACATTACCACAAGCACATCGGGGTCACTGGGTGACCATTCTTTCCCTAGTTTTACTTGTGACCCCACCTCTACCTTGGTTCGAGCAATTGGGTTGGAGAGTTGGAAAAAATGGGAGATTCGTCTTGGCGGATCTTTGTTATGGGCAATTGGGTTAATGACGAACTTGGAGGTACCCCACCCTACTGATCGTGTGGACCAATCAGGCCTTTCTTGTTATTATGGGGGCTCGTATGACTAAAATGAGTGAGTCTTTGCGAGTCATAGCTCAAAAAGCAGGAATGACTTAAAATGTCCTTCAACAGAGACGCGCAAAAATGTTTGTGCAACAAAAATCGGTCAATGTCAAACCTAGTTAAAGGTGCTTGACTGGGAAGAGCTTGAGTGTCATTAGTTATGGAAGACTTGCAAAAGACAGACAAATACCATGGTGTTGTTAGTTTAAGTTCGACTTAAATATCTAGATGAAGCTAGAATGAAATACCTGATGCGAAAGTGAGGTTCTCTATTTATAGGTTGGGGATCCGTCAGGTCGTCCAACAGACGGTTATTTATATCCCCATCAGGTGCCTAAAGTCGGGAGTCGATTAGTCCTTTGCTGCATGGAGATGTTCCAATGAATTTTGCAGCAAAGTACTACAGTTGAACCCCTTAGGTGGTCTTGAAGTAGGACCTGGTCTTCTGAACTCCACGAAAAAAAATTCATGATGGTAATATGAAATATATTTACCTAATGATATTAATTATTTAAAATTTACCATACGTTCGTTATATTACTTTTTTATGGTTTTATATGTTTAATTATAATATCTGAGTTTTTGTTTTCCCATTGAAAGAGATAATTTCAAAAGATAACAAATACTTTATTTCAAAAGGTTAATTATTTTTCAATTAAATATCTTTTAAACTTGAATTATTTTAAAACTTCAAAATGACAATTAGCATAAGTAATTGATTGATTGGATCATTCTATAAATTGTTTACTTACGAGTAATTAGATAAATTATGGTCACTTTCAATATAACTAAGTAGGTAAGATGATTAGAGAGATCGATAGTTTGACACCTTACCATGGTTGAAAATAAACTGTTATGATTCTTTGGAAAGAATCTGAATGCATTGATTTCAAATTATATTTAAAATTGAAAACAGTTGGTTGCCAGCGGTTGAGGAAGAAAACATCAAATTATGGGATCATGATTATTTGGAATGAATTTGTTCAGTCCATTAATTTCAAATCTGATCTAAAATGGAAAAACATGTGGTTGCCAGCTGTTGATGGGGTTACAAAGACTTTTTGGCTTTGGTTCTTCTCACGCAGCTTCCTCTGTCCCAAGTCCCACGTTGACTTACAAATACCAATTTGATCTATAAGCCCCATGGATTTTGGATCTTCTTCACCAAATCCACTGCAATTTTTGTGAAAAAGTAAGATCAGAGTGATGGCTGAGTTTCTATTGACTTTTGCTGTAGAAGAAGTGTTGAAGAAAGTGGTGAAAGTTGCTGCTGAGCAAATTGGGCTCGCATGGGGGTTGGAGAAGGATCTTGAGGAGCTGAGAGAATGGCTACTCAAGACTGAAGCTTTCTTACGTGATATCAACAAAAGAAAATTGCATAGTGATTCAGTGAGGCTGTGGGTGGACAAACTTCAAGATCTTGTTCATGAAGCTGAGGATCTATTAGACGAGCTTCTTTATGAAGATCTTCGACGAAAGGTGCAAACAGCAAAAATGAAGAAGGTACGTAATTTTGTTTCTCCTTCTAATAATGCTTTCGTCTTTCGTTTAAAGATGGCAAATAGAATGAACAACATCAGAAACTTGTTATGCAAACATTATTACGAGGGAGGTCCTTTGGGACTTGTTGGCAATGAGCCAGTAGAAACAGAAACTGATATTAGCCAACTTCGAGAGACAGTCTCCGAGTTGGATGATTTTGAAGTTGTGGGTAGAGATGTTGAAGTTTCAAGCATAGTGGATCAGGTGATTGATACTAGAACGAGAAATGTTACATCTATCTTACCTATTGTGGGTATGGGTGGACTCGGAAAAACAACGCTTGCGAAGTTGGTCTTCAATCACGAGAGGGTCAAACAACATTTTGACGAAACTATATGGGTGTGTGTGTCTGAACCTTTTATTGTCAATAAGATTTTGGGAGCAATTTTAGAAACTATAAGAGGTGCTTCTAGTGGCTCGAACAATAAGGAGGTCTTACTTCGTGAACTTAAAAAAGAGATGCATGACAAAAGCTATTTCCTTGTGCTCGACGATATTTGGAATGAAAATCCTTCTTTGTGGGATGAGTTGAAGAATTGTTTGATGAGGATCACTCAAAAATCAGAAAATACAATTGTAGTGACTACCAGGAGTGTTGAAGTTGCAAAAATTATGGAAACACTTCCAAGTCATCATTTAAGTAAACTCTCCGACGATCAGTGTTGGTCCTTATTTCAGGAAAGTGCAAATATAAATGGACTACCAATGACTTCAAGTTTGAAAGTTGTACATGAAGAGTTGGTTAAAAAAATTGGAGGAATACCATTAGTGGCAAAAGTTTTGGGGAGGGCTGTGAAATTTCAAGGAGACTATGATAGATGGGTGGCAATGTTGGAAAGTGAAATAAGAACTCCATCTCAAGAGGAAAATTTTGCGTTATACATATTGAAATTAAGTGTGGATCGCCTGCCATCATTTTTATTAAAGCAATGTTTTGCATATGGTTCAAATTTTCCCAAAGATTTTGTGTTCGAGAAAGAAGAACTAATTAAAATGTGGATGGCACAAGGTTTATTCATCTACAAGAAGGAAGCAACAAAACAATGGAAAATGAAGGAGATAGGTACTTCAAGATCTTGTTGTCTCGCTGCTTATTTCAAGACGTTTTTAAAGATGGGAGAGGGAGAATTACAAGCTGTAGGATGTATGATCTTATACACGACATTGCATGTGACATTTCAAATTCTAAAAAATTGAAATTTGATCCCAACAATTTATTGGACACGGAACATTTCCTGAATGGCAATAAAAAAATTGCAAGTAAGGTTCGCACTTTACTTTGTTATGAAGAGATGGCTCACAGAATAGAGAATGTGACTCATGTTAAAACTGTGAACTTCTTTTATTTGCGTGTTTTGGTGATGAATTTGATGTATATTTATAAGTTACCCGATTCAATTGGTAAATTAAAACACTTAAGATATCTCGATATTTCTTCTTGTTCACTAGAGAAGCTTCCAGAATCTATCATTGATCTTTATAATCTTCAAACACTAAGGATTAAGCAGACATTGATTATAGAGCTTCCGAAGAATTTAAGAGAATCGGTTAGTTTAAGACATTTGGAATTTTTGAAAACCTTTGTTGACTACATCAAGCAAATGCCTCCATATATGAATGAGTCAAATGATACAACTTCAAACGTTGTCTGTATTTGTAGCAGGATTTGAAGAGGGTTGCAAAATTACAGAAGTTGGACCTCTGAAAAACTTGAAAGGTAGTTTGAAACTTACAAATTTGGACCAAACTGCAAAATTGGTGGAAAAGGAGAATTTACGTGATCTCGCCTTTATTTGGAGTTGGGATTGTCGTAGAAAAGTCAACTATCACAATGATCTGGAAGTACTGGAAGGACTTCAACCACACAAGAATCTACAAAATTTGAACATTCAATCCTTTCAAGGAAAATATTTGCCTAACAAGATTTTTGTTGAGAATTTGGTGGCAATCACTCTAAAAGGTTGTGGAAATTGTGAAAGGCTTCCCATGCTTGGACAATTAACCAACTTAGAAGAGCTTCATATTTTTCACTTAAAGAGTGTAACGGAGTATAGGAAATGAATTCTATGGAATTGACTCGAACCAAACCACAATCTTCCCCAAGTTGAAGGAACTTATATTGGAAGGGATTTTGAGCTTAGAGCAGTGGGAAGAAGTGACAGTTGCATCAAATGTTACAACTTTTCCTTGTCTTCAAGTCTTGAAAGTCCTCGAATGTCCCAAATTGTCGAATATTCCAAATCTTTTCGGGTTCAGTGACGAGAATGGCGTCAAGCACCTCACAAGTTTGCAAATTTTGGAATGTTCTAAACTGACCAAACTTCCAAATGGGTTAAGGTTTTGCCATTCCATTAAAGCCTTGGAAATACTCCAATGTTGTTCATTTCTGAGTCTTGATTTGGAAAATAGGGACATGTTGAGTTCCTTGAGAATCATGTTGCCTGAGAAGTTGGCCCATCTCACCAACTTGAAAAAAAAGAGCATATATGGATGCATCCAACATCATGGGCCTCTTAACAAATGTTCTTCTGAAACGCTTTGGCTTAACTTTGGTACCTTGCAACAGCTATCGATTCAAAACATCAGTAGCGTTGAAGCTTTGCCAGCATGGTTGGAATACTTCACGTCTTTGCAAAGTTTGTCTTTCCTTCTGCCTAAATTTCGGAGATTGAGACTCTTTTCAAGGTTTTCTTGTTGATTTTTTCTGTTTTTCTCCTTTTCTCTTTTCTTATGTAAAACTATGGTATAATGGAAATTGTCAAAGTTTGTGCTCTCCATCATCGCCAATTCTCCCTTCTTTCAAATAATGTTTCACATTGCTAAATATATGGGATTACATCGTTCTAGATCTAAACGGATAAAAATGGAGAAAACGAAAGCCCTGCTATTGTCACCAAAAAGTTTTCTATTTCCGATAGTGCCAAATAGCCCAAAACATAGATAATAGAAGATCAAAACTTTGTCTACTCAAATTGTCTTTAAACCAACATAGAAGATCAGAAACATTCCTAGGCCAATTTGAGTTATAAAAAGGAGTACTTGTCTTCTACAAAGCGCATGAAACAAGCCCTCTTTCGCTGCTGTCCACAACTTCCAGATATGTCCATAATCCTTTTGCACAGATTAACCCTTGTGGAAAGAAAGTTCTTATACATATTCCACCGGAAAAACTTAATTTTAGAGGGAATATTAGCATTCCACAACCATTTCCACCATGTCTCCATAATTTTTGAATTTGACGTACTCGGTCTCGGCTTCCTTGAATTGGCTAAATGCACGGTAGGCACTTTTCACGGTGAACATCCCATTTTTCGTGAGACTCCACGTGATTTTAAACGGTTGATTAGTTCTGGGGAGAACAATACTCAAAATTCCATCAACCTCGTCCTCGTCCAACAACTCTCGGATTAAAGGCTCATTCCAATGTCCACTTGGGTCTATTAAATTAGCAACCATCAGATTTCTGTTCGTATTCATAGAAAATCGATGCAAAGCTACCTCTCTGTTTGGTATCCATTTGTCTCTATCAATATGGATACTTTGGCCATTCCCAACGTGCCAACGCGATCCAGAAAGTAAATTTTCCTTTCCCCCAAATCAGGCTCCTCCATACGTACATGCATTCCTTTTACTCTTCGCTCCAAGAAAAGAAGATCGAGCGACGTTTGTAAATACATAAGCTATCCCTCTCGTTATCAATTGATTTTGAGTATTATTGAACTAATATGGAAAGAAGAATCCGTAGAGAAAAATATTTGATTGATCTAAATTAATTTGATAATACAACTCGTATAACTGCACAACTACCTAGAGTAACTTAATAACAAAAATATAGGAACAGAAAGGTAAGTAGTTAACAAAATATCTATTCGTAATACGCCCCTGAAGATGGACGGTGGATATCTAAAACGCCCATCTTGGACAAGAGCAGAAAAAAGACGGGAAGCAAGCAACGACTTTGTAAACGGATCGGCAAGTTGAAGACTAGAGCAAACAGGAAGAAGCTTAATAGTTTCTGCAACAATCTTTACCCTAATAAAATGGCAATCCAACTCGATATGTTTGGTATGCACGTGAAAAACAGGATTGGAGGCAAGACGAATAGCAGATTGATTATCACAAAAAAAAACACTGCAGGGAGCTCAAAAGAAATACGAAGATCATGCCAAACAAACTTTGCAAGCAGCGACTGAAAAAGCACGATACTCAGCCTCAGCAGACGAGCGAGAAACAGTATTCAGTCCAAGAAACCAAAGAATCGCCAAGAAAAACACAAAACCCAGTGACAGAACGCTGCGTATCCAAACAAGCACCCCAATCGGCATCGGCAAAAGCTGGTATTTGAAAACAAGAAACCATAGGAAGAAACATACCTTGACCAGGAGAGGTCTTCAAATACCGCAACAAGTCATGAGCCGCTGCAAGATGCGAATTACAAGGGCTAGACATGAACTAACTAAGCCGATGCACAGCAAAAGTGATATCAGGACGAGAAATGGTCAAGTATAAAAACCGTCCAATGAGACGACGAAATATCAAAGGATCAGTAAGCAAATCAACATCAGAAGAACACAACTTCAAGCAAGGATTCACAGGAACAAAATTAGGCATGCAACCAAGAAATCCAGTGTCTTCAACTAACTATAATGTGTAATGACGTTGAGAAATAAAAATGCCTGAAGAGGACCGAGCAAGCTCAAGACCAAGAAAATATTTTAGAGAACCAAGATCCTTGAGTTTGAATTGAGCATGACGAAGCGCCTTCAGGTTATTAATGGCTGAAATAGACATCCCAGTAATAATTATATCATCAAAAGTAAAACAAGAAACGAAGCCCCATCACCCTTCACAAACAATGAATAATCACCCTTTGATTGTCGAAAACCAAGAGATAGTAAAAATTATGAAAATTTTGCAAACCATTGGCGAGAAGCTTGCTTGAGGCCATAAAGCGATTTATGTAATTTGCATACCAACTGATCACCATTGACAGAAATAGGGGGTTTATATCCGAGATGCAAGTCCATACACAACAACAGTAAAAAGAGTTTTAAGAGTAACCAATTTAGCTACCAGAGAAAAAGTTTGCAAAAAATCCAAACCTTCCTATTGTGTGTACCCCTTGGCTACTAAACGGGCTTCATAGCGCTCAATAGAGCCATCAGCACGATGCTTAATTTTAAAAATCCACTTACACCCAATAGTATGCTTACTGGAGGAGAGAGAAACAACACTCCAAGTATGATTGTCCTCCATTGCATGCTCAAAACCCACCACTTGATGATAAAACTGAGGCTCAAAATTAGCAGAAACATTAAGAATCATAGTAGGATGAACAGCAGAAGAAAGTCGAGTGTAAGACACAAACTTTGTAAAGGATATCTGATAGAAGTGTCAGGCAAAATTGTAGAATAAAGAAGACTACAATGATAGTCCTTTAAATGAGGAGGAGGCTTGAGGCGTGTAGAAAAACGAAAACCTTGTTGTGGTGCAAGAGTTAATGTTGTACCAGATGTTTCAGAGGCTTCATTCAGGGATGAAGTGGACAACTCATGAGGTACTATATCCTGACAAGTATCATAATGTAAAGTTGTATCAAAAAGGTCCAAAACCTTATTATGTGGTGTTGTAGCTCATAGAATAGGCTGTAAAATAGGCATGGCAGGCGGCTGGACAGCAACTGAACGAAGGGGCGGCTGTTCGGTGTGACCGACAAATCGGGAGCGGCAAGGGCCGACGACCCGAGAATAGGAACGGCCGGCGGACCTGGAACAAGAAGGGTCGGTGGAACTAGAACTGCGACAGCCAACGGGTCGGGTACCGCTACGATGGATGGCGGGTCCGGTGTTGCTACAGCTGGCGGAGCGGGGGCCGACGATGGGTCTGATAGGTCCAACGGAGTTGAGGTGGAGCTGGAACGAGCGGCAGCGGCCGATGGGTCCGACGGAAGCACAGGTGTCGACGAGGAAGAATGTGCAAGGGGCGGCGAAGCATCAAACAAGGCGGCCGGCGGAGTTGAAGCTGCGACTACCGGCTGGTCAGATATGTCAACGGCCAGTGAAGTCAAATCGGAAGCAGACTGTACAACACCAGAGTTAGTGAGAAGATGGGACAAATCACTGCCACAATGAAGAACTTGGGTAAAACAAAACCAGGAAATGAGTCAGAAATGCCACTTTCTCAGTAACTTTGTGAGAGGGGAAAACATCCTCATGAAATAAAACATCACGGGAAATAAAAAATTTCTAATCGGATATGTCATATAGCCCTGTATGCTTTCATTCCAGGTGGATACCCAATAAAAATAGCTGGAACAGCCCATGGTTGAAATTTAGATCGATTAGCAGTAAGTGTAAAAGCGAAACAGAGACAACCAAAAACACGAAGATGTCCAAAATCAGGCAGAGTCTTTGAAGCAATTCAAAAGGAGTGCGCCAAGACAACACAGGTGATGTGATTAATAAGAAACATTACAGTAAGAATACAATCACCTCAAAAACGGATAAGAATGCGTGATTGGAAATAAAGAGCCCGTGCAACATTCAATATATGTTGATGTTTCCACTCAACAACAGAATTTTGTTGAGGACGACCAACACATGAAAATTGATGAAGAACACCTTTAGAAGCAAAAAAAGTCATCAAACCGAAGCTCAAGTGCATTATCCGAACAAAACTGCTTGATGCATTTACCAAATTAAGTCTCTTCAAGCTTAAAAAAACGAGGGACAATATGTAGAACGTCTGACTTATTTTTAAGCATAAAAACTCATGTATAGCGAGTAGCATCATCAACAATAGTTAAAAAAATAAGAATGTCCAGCATAAGTTGGTGTAGAAAGAGGTCCCCAAACATCCGCATGAACAAGATCAAAAACATGAGGAGAAAAATTGTTATTCGAAATAAACGATAAACGTTGCTGCTTAGCCAAAGGACAAATGTCACAATATTCAGAATCATCATATTGCAACAAGGGTAAATGCAAAGCAGTTTGTAAAGAATTTAAACAACTAAAAGATGGATGACCAAGCCTATGGTGCCACAAAATAGCACACGATCGGAAAGTCAAAGATGCGCAAACAGCATGAGAAAAAGAGGTGTCAACTGGAAATGTCGAGGTGTCAAGCATGTACAATCCATTAGACAGTCTAGCCTTGCCAATCGTCCTCAAAGTGGACTTGTCTTGAATGAGGCAAGAAGCATTAGAAAATTATATAGACACAAAATCACCCTGTAAAAGCGCGCTAACTGAAAGGAGATTGTATTGAAACCCCGGTATATATAACACCATGAATCCACAAGGAAGGAGTCAACATAATTGTACCCATATGGCGAACAATAATATGCTTTTTATCTAGTAAAGTGACTGAAGCACAAACGGGATGCAAAGAGACAAAGCAGTCGCGAGAGAAACATATATGTGCAGAAGCACCAGAATCAATAATCCAAAATTTTAACGAACCATGAGGTATTAAGGAGCATGTAGCTGCAACATGGGAAGAGGCTCTGGAGTCATTCTTAGCGAGAGAGAGCTGAGAATGGAGCATATTCAGGAGACTATGACACTGCACAAGAGTATCTCCAAGACTGGGAGAGGATTGCATGGGTTGGGCCATCACAAAATTGGCAACGGAGGAGGCCGGGGATGATTTCTAGTGAGATGAAGTACAACCATTGCGATGATGATAACCTGTTGGGTAACCATGGAGCTTATAACAACGATCCAAAGTGTGTCCCTGGATGCCATAATGAGTGCATATAGAACGCTCACGAAGCTGACCTTGAACTCCACGAGAATTCCAAGTATTAGTGGATGAACGCACGGATGCAGGAGAAGTGGAGACAACAAGTGCAACACCTTCTGTTGAAAGAAGCAAATTTATAGTCCGTTGTTATTCTTCTTGAAGAAGAAAAGAAAATACACGATTGACAGAAAGAGGTGGATCCATGAGCAGTAGCTGGGCACGAGCACGAGAAAAAGAATCGTTCAGTCCCATGAGGAAACTCATCAAATATTCAATTTGGAGAAAATCAGCCATAGATCGAAGTCCCCCACAATGTCAAGAACCACAAGTCCAAGCAGGACGATAGGAGTTCAATTCTTCTCTGAGAGCCTTAATCTTAGTAAAGTACATGCTGATAGAGTCTTGATTTTGATTAAGTGTAGCTAAATCACGCTTGATCTGAAAGATTCGAGGGGAATTCTTACCTTGAAAGCGCTCTTAAAGGTCAATCCATATCTCCCGAGCAGAATGAGAAAAAATTATACAAGCTGATATTGTTTTGGAAACTGAATTTAAAATCCACGGAATGACAACGTTGTTATTTCTTATCCAAGCAGGGAGCAAGTCGCCAGTAGGTCGTGGAAGAGTGTCGTCAATGAAACCAAGCCTGCTTTAGTTAGTTCGACTTCCTAGCCTACCTGGTATACGCCCATCAAAATGGAGCATTGTGTCTCAATGAAAATATCCCTTTAGGTTGAGTAAGAAGCTATATCTCCATAGGTTGATCGTCTCAACACTCTTTTCTTTTAAGCAACAAGTCCAGCTTAAGCCCTATCATGTCAATGTAACTAGTGACCTTCCCGTCTTTCCTGGTCTCAATTGCCCTTGTTAGCCTTCTCCCAAAAATGCTATTTCATAACTCTGAGCTCATCAAGTGTTAGGAAGGAGTAATTGTTTCATCAGTCATGGTGGAAGAACGAGCAAAAAAATAAAAATAAAAATAAAGAATTAAAAAAAAATTCTAATATTTCTTTGATACCATATTAAACTAATATGGAAATAAGAATCTGTAGAGAAAAATATTTGATTGATTTGAATTCATTTGATAATACAACTCCTTATATACAGAATTTCGGAAATAACCAAATAACAAAATAGTATAACTGCACAACTACCTAGAGTAACTTAATTACAAAAATATATGAACAAAAAGGATGAACAGAAAGGTAAGTAGTTAAAAAAATATCTATTCGTAATAAGTATGAAACCTCCGAATCTTAATTACTAAAATTTTCTCGGTGGGTCATATAAGAATTTGCCAAGCATAACAGAAGTAATTTGCCAAGCATAATAGAGGTCAATCCAGTGGAGCACTGTAAGGCAGTTACCTTGAGGGGTGGTATGGAGTTGGTTAAACCAGAGCAAAATAAGAAGCCTACAAAAGAAGTTCAACAAATAGAAATTACACCAGAACCATCCACTAAGATAGTTGAGGACACTGCGACACCACAATTAGCCAGTTCGTCGGTCATTCCATTTCCTCAACGCCTCTGGAAAAACAAAAAGGATAAGCAGTTCAGTAAGTTTATTGAAATTTTTAAGAAACTGCATATGCCAACTATCTTAGACTGGCTAACTGTGGTGTCGCAGTGTCCTCAACTATCCCGTAAGTCTATGAAATTCATGAAGGACATCTTGAAGAACCATCGAGTAAGTTTATTGTAGATGCCCTTAAACAAATGCCACAGTCTATGAAATTCATGAAGGATATCTTAAAGAAGAAAAGAACGTTGGAGGATTATGAAATGATCCCACTCACAGAGGAGTGTAGTGTTATACTACAAAGAAAACTTCCGTCCAAACTGAAAGATCCAAGGAGTTTTTCTATTCCTTGTTCAATTGGTGATGTTGTCTTTGCAAATGCTTTCTGTGACTTAGGAGCCAGTATTAACTTAATGTCTTTATCTATTTTCAGAAAATTGGGACTTGGAGACGTGAGACCGACCACAGTTTCATTGCAGCTGGCTGATAGATCAATAAAGTATCCAAGGGGGATCATTGATGATGTTCTTGACAAAGTAGAGAAATTCATCTTTCATATGTACTTTCTAGTGTTGGATATGGAGGAAGATGAAAACATGCCTATTATTATGGGAAGACCTTTCTTGGTGACGGGAGGAGCGAAGATTGATGTAGAGTTAGGAGAGCTGAAACTAAGGGTTCAAGACGAGTCAGTCATTTTCAAAGTTTTCAAACATTCTGACTCTTATTATAACCCCATGAGTTGCTCTTGCATCATTGAGGTGAGATTGCCATCATCCCGATCTTCTTCAAAGTCATATGCTGATATGCTACTATTTTAAACCACCTTAAAGAGGAGAAGAAAAGTCAGGCTAAGGACTATAAATCAAGCGCTATTGAGAGGCAACCCAAATGTTTCTTTTTCAACTTTTGTTTATTTTTTCTTTTATTTTTATTTATTTTTTATTTATAGTTTTATTTCTTTCTAAATTTACTTTTTGAATTTAGGAAAGAGATCAACGTGAAAGAAAAAAAGAAAAGAAAAGAAAAAGAAGAAGTCATCGAAGTTATTGGATTTTTAAAGTTGTGCCACTCAGGGAAGTCTCAATATCCCATATCCTATGTTTATTTGATTAATTGTTTGTCCTTTATACATTTTCATACATTGGGGATAACGCGTGATTTAAGTTTGGTGGTGGTGTGGTTCCTTGTTGAATTCTGGTAGACAATGATAGCTGGAGTTAGTGATTACAGTTTTTGCTCTTACAAAGTAAATGTTAAAAGCATGCTGAACTTATTGACTGTATAGTTGGTTTGACTTTGTTTTTGGCCCTTTTATAATCTTATTGATCACACAATTCTGAGTACGTTGTTTTTCTCGTTGCTTAAAGGTTGCGCTTAGCTGGTTTTATCATTCATGAAAAACATGCTAAATCTTTATTAATTCACCATTCGGGTGTGTCTTGTTAGTACCTCATGTCTATGATGATAATTAAGGAATTGAGGAAATTTAGCGTTTGTTGTTCGCATAAGCCGTGAGCCATTTGTCAATGTGTTTGTTTAATAAGGTTTTTCTGCTATCCTTTCCTAAACTTAAACTTTTAAAACACTATATGAGAAGTCCTTGTCCTAAATGTTTAACATATTTGTTGCGCTTTCAAATATTTTTTCCTAGTGTGGACACTGCCTCCCAATGTATTTTGCTACTTTATTTTTCAGAAAGAACATGTTTATTTTACTTTTCAGAAAGAAAATGTTATTATAAAAAAATAATAAAAATATCACATTCTAATTTTTGCATACCATTTGCTTGAGAGAAAATAAGAGATGAGAAAAGATTGGAAAAAATAAGTAAAGAGAAAGAAAAGGGAGGAACAAAAATAGGGAGGAACGAAAATGAAATTATATTTCCGTAGATACTCCGCTAGCAGTAGGCTATGAGTGGCTTTTTAGCGGTCTCAGTAGTAATAGTACATAATCTAGTGTAACCTCGTGCAACCCATTGTCGATATATTATGATTTTGTCAATTACTTAGAGATCTCTATAATTGACTGTAGTGGAAGGCCGCGCACGTGTGTCTTAAGCTGCAGGGCTAGTAGCCAGTCCTCGAGTCTCATAAGTGTAAAAGTTGTTGAAACAGAAAGGAAGTTTGCATATTCTTTAGTGTTTGACAAATTTTTAAGTTAAGAAAATATTGGATTTAGAAAACTCTTTATCATTTAAATATTCTTGGCTCATGCTAACTTGGCTTATAAGAATGAGAGATGCTAAAGTTTTGATTTCTTTCCTGAGACGATATATGAGTGAATTGTTGCCTATCCTAGAATTGTGATGTTATTTAGTATTTTGCATGTAGCTTGTGGATGTGAAATGGTTAAGTTTGCTTGTGCGTAAAATTTGTTTTTGAGATGAGAGATGACAATTTATGATAATTGTGCACACACACATGTATAGGGCCTAAAATGGAGAAAAATTATCTTGTTGGTTAAAGAGTTTCGGCATTGCTTGAGTTTAGCTTCATTTTCTTTTGAAAGTAAGAAAGTGTTGTTTTTGAAGCTTGAGTCTATCTCTACTCAATAATACTTTGGTGGCTGCTTTAAATTTCTTTGATTGTTTATCTTTGCTCGAGGACGAGCAAAATGATAAGTTTGGGGGTATTTTGATAAGTGACTTTTGGTTCTTGTAATTGTTGTCCACTAATTGTGCTACCAATTCTTCTATGTGCAAGTGTACACAATCGTCGCAGCAAGTAATAAAAGTTTGAATCCACAGAGACTAAATGCTTAAAAACTCAATATTCGCTCAAAAAGTACTACAACAAGCAACATGATTCTCTTCCAAACAATAACTAAACAGTGCTGAGAATAGAACTTTGAAAGAAATATCTTAATGCAAACACAAGGGATAAATTCGTTAGAAGTACCAAACATCTACAATTACTCAGTAAGATCTTGTAAAAATACAGGCGCAAGGGGGAGATTAAGTCGACTCTTCTAGGCCACCTTAACTATGCTGTAACATTAAAGGAGTAAGTGCAGTGGTCAAACATACAAGATGCTCTTCCAAGCACCTCAGATTTTCTACTACTAACATTCATAGACAAACATCAATAGCATATACACACAGTTTTTATGACCAAGCTAGGTGATGCTTATCCCTAAGTCACCACACGCTAAACTTAAGTAAACTCTAGCTCAAGATCAAGATGAAAGGGTTCGCTCCTCAACACATTTTTCCAAACATTGTCAAAGAGATATTTCAAAATGGTGATCAAGCACAATGAAATTAGAGTGATACACTACTTCAACTGAAAACATACTTCCATTAAAACAAACAGTACGGTTACAACCTGGAAAATAAGTCTAGAAGATCTCCCCCTTACACAAGTGGTTAGCTATGCAAAACCATAAGGAAAGTTAAGCAAAATGTAAGAATGAAAATAATACAAAGATGAGAAAATGAAGAAAAGGAGCTGAAGATCAGCTCCTAACTGCCACTGAAGAGTCTGCTTCTTCTCTTTGCTTTCTCTAACGGTTCTTAGAGAGAGTTTCTTGGAGTAAGGGTGGACTCCTTCCAAGGATGAACAAGGGGAATGTTTCTTGATGTGTGTGTCCTTGGAGGCTTCTTCTCTTCTTTATATTTATACCCCTCCTTAGGGCAACATTACGGACCTTGGGGGACCCAACTCTCTCTTTTGGTTAAAACCTCCAATTATTGCGGTAAATCCTGTTGGGTAGTCCTTTCACTGTCAGCTTGTCGTTTTCTGCTGCTTTCTGAATCTGGATCTGATGCTGTAGCGTCGTCAAAGCTGTAGCAAAATGCACCAAATTAGGTCCATTGCAATTGAGAATACTACAGTATAGAAAGCTAGTGTTTATGATCTTTTTAGCACAAAAACAGTGATTAAGGGAGCAAGGGCTGCTATCTTTAGTTAATTTACACCAACATTATACCCAAATAACTCTCTATTTGGAGAGTTATCAGTAATTTAGAGTGTTTTTGAGTTATTTGATAGTTTGTACGGAGATTTTCTTTGGATAGTTTAATCGTTTTTTGTATTTCTTTCTTTTGTAGGACTTGAGTTGAAGAAGATGAGAAAAATAGCAAATAAAGAAGCAAAATCGAGCAAATTCCAGTGCGTTGGGTGCCTAGGTGCCGAAAATTGATAAAATGGCAGAATGTTGGGTGCCTAGGTGCTCATCTGGGTGTCTACGCGCTACGAAGATTGAAGCGTTGGTTTTTGCTGGCACGTGTTTTTGGGCGCCTAGGCGCTCGCGACAGAATTTTGTTAAATATCTCATTTTAACGCTAGTCGTGGGAAGGAAAAAATAGGAGGAAAACAGAGGGAAAAGAGGGAAAAAAGAGGAGCATAGCGTTTTTAGAGAGAAAAGAGGGGATTTTAAGAAGATTGGAAGGAATGCGAGAACGGAGGCTTGAGAGACCGCCAGATTTGTTTTCTTTCTCCTCTTCTTTCTCTCCTTTAGCGTTAACTTCCTTCAATGATGTTGATTGAGATTTTCTTTTTGGATTCAAACATGAACTAAATATATTTTCTAGGGCGTTGATGTAGCCTTTATCAAACTTGACTCTTCTATGTTCTTTATTTGATTTTCTTTCTAAACGTGTTGACTGTGAGAACTTTTTATATTCTTAATGCATTGTTGAGATTTGGTCATTCTTTACATTGATTCATTGTTGTCGCAACGTCATCGCGACGCGGAGCGGCCGACGTCATCTCCTGAAGGGTCTCTTTCGAGATAAGGGTTTGGAGTCGCCACCAATCATCTACGAGGTGTGATTGGTCACCTAAAAATAAAAACAAGGTCTGCAAAAACAGATCGTTGGTTTGGGAGTCGACTGAGCGTAGGGAAGTTGTTAGCACCCTACGACACCCGTTCGAAAACGGTACCACATTTTGTCAAAAATTATCCTATTATGTTATTTGGGCCAAGAAAATATATTTTTTTATTTTAAATGTCTCATATTATATTAATTCACATTTTATTATAAGATATGAATTAATAGATATGAGTGGCACGAAAGCCATTAGAAAAATTTTGACACCTCGAGAATATTGGAAGGTTCCAATTCCCGTCATTGGAGTTTTTGAAATAATTATTTAGCAAAAAAAATAATTTTAATTTTATGAAACATTAAGACTTGAACTTACGACATGAGTGTTGACACTAAAACATCACACCAATGTGCCACCACTTTGAAATATAAGCTATGCTCTTTTTAAAATACATATTTTGTATTTTTGAATTTTGTTTAAAAAAAAGAAAAAAAAAACTCTAAATGAAATCTTTTATTTAAAATAATTATTTAGTAAAAACAACGATAAAATGAAGCATTCAAAGACTCGAACTTGGGTCATGTACATTAAAAAATAAACATCTTACTACTATACCAACATCTTAAGATGTAAACATTATATTCTTTTACACAAACAAAAGTTTTAATTTATTTTTTTAAACTAAAAAAAAACTACGAATTTTGTTAAATTAAAACAAAAAAAAATCTTTTTTTATTTATTTCGAAATTAACAAAATTATTTAAAAGAAAAAAAAATTATTTAAAAACAAAGTCAAATTTACTTTAACAAAACTTATTTAAAAGAAACTGATTTTTTTGTTAAGATTTTTTCAAAAACATAACCACCAAACCATTAAAAGAAATTTAAATGAGATTTTATTCTAAAATACTCTGTTTTTATCTCCTCCTTTAAAATCCTGCAGTAGAAGATTCTTTTTTAATTAAAAAATAAAACAAAGGTAACACAAAAAATATAAACCTTGTAAAAAAAATCATTTTAAATAAAAACTACATTTTAAATAAAAA